TCTTGTCGGACCTACAGGCCAAGAAACCGACTAAGTTTCATCGTGTCATGCACACGATTTTTCGCCTTGCAGTGTATGTTTTTCCCCCGTTTTTCCCGAGTTATACTCACATAGTTTTATAGAGGCGGCTCTGACACCGACGACGATGCTTCAGAATCTTCAAACCCCTCGGCAACTCTGGCTCCACGTGGTGGGGACATTCTCACCATAGACGAGTGGGATCAGATGGACGATGAGTAGGCAAGCCCCTTTACTGTCTCATGTATATCATCACCCTCCCATTTCCCTCGCTTTCCCATTACATCGTGGCCCTCCATTCCTTCCAAATATAATCTAATTATCCCGTTATTGCTCTTTCTACTCATTATTCTACGGCCAGCTTGCCTACTAGTACTTCATCAGGAAAAACCTCAAACCCGAAAACTTGCGAAAACAGCGAATTTCTCAGGAATTCTCTGTATTTCTCTCGCGACTGCAGTTTTTTTGGCGTCTTTCGAAACAGGGTGCTATAAGTAAATCTAGTACTACTAGTACTGGTAATAACTGATTATTCGGAGTGTATACTGAAGTATGTGTGCATATCTTTGAAGCTATTCACATAAAAGACAGTGCACCTCTCCAAAACATTGTCAGTAGACCAATCTGAGGGCACAGAGCGCCCCCATTTGGGTAAAAGATGAACACTCCGTATTACATTGGTTATGGGGACAACAGACGTTTGCCTTTCCCCATTCCTAACATCACGTTCAACCCGCTGGAGGCCAGAGTCGGCGTCGGGCTGCGCTGAGAACGCCGTGAACCACTCCACATAAGCAAAGTGCTGTGGCAGAGGGTAGTCGGGCGGGAACAGCACCGAAACGGCTGCCTGGGGGAGCGAGAAGATGACCTTGACTTGAGCGACGCGGAAGTCTGTCATGTTCAGCGCGATGGACGTTGGTAGACTCGAAAGGGACTCACTGTGAATACCGCCTTCGGGATTGTTGTCCACCCTAACTAGTGCAGTGTCGAAACGTGCCGGAGCAACGCATGTGCCAGAGGTGTTGTACCGAGGAGGTTGAACGTGGACGGAGTCGAGTGTTTCCTTTCCGAAGAATGCTTCGTTGAGAAACTTGAGACGATGGAAGACCGGGAGAGAAGTGAACGGGCGACGAACATCTGCTGCGAGATCCTCGAGTTGGTGTGGAGTGACTTGAGGGTAGCGACAGCGGGTGACAAACCGGGAGAAGGCCTCGACGAAGAATCGTGCATTGTAATGGAACGGCGAGCAGATCTCGTCCACAGAGACCGATCGACGAGTTGGATGAAGCGTCAGTTTTTGATAGAGGGTGCATGCCATATCAGGAGGGCGCCAATGCACATCACGAGGTGCTGCGATTGCCTCATCTCGATCGGCACCGAGGCTGCGCCAACTGATGTATTTGGTGTGGTGAATGATCTTCTCCTGACGCTCGAGCCAGATCGTCATCTGGAAGAACTCATCCTTGTGATTAGTTGCTGCATACGCGTCCTTGGCAAAGTCGATGTGCAAGCGCTCAGTTGCCTCGGTGTTGAAGTTGTCGGTGGTGCCGAATAGCTTGATTGCTCGTGCATAGTGTAGAAGGGAGTGGAGTTTTGGGAAGTTCCACTGCTCACGAGCGCCGATATCCTCGAAGACTTGACGGTTCGCGTGGAAGGCGGCCAAAGAGTCCTCGAGAGCAGTGATTGTGTCGTTGGTATGAACCGGAAACTGGGATATATATAAGAAGTCGAGAAGGCCGCGAGTAGCACGGACGAGACGCGAACGTTGCTGATAAGGACGTGGTGCATCAATGATAAGCCCGAGAAGGAAGCGAGACATTTGCTTATGCTCCGTGCCGCTGACGCGTGAAAGGGTGGTGATACCCTTCTGGAAGATGCGCATTCCATGATTAGGAGGGAGTCGGCGAGCGCGAGCGTTGATCTCGGCTGCCCCGCACGCAACAGTGAGCCACGAGATCAGGTGCTTGATCACGCCCTGATACTGCTGGTGAAGGATGTCGGGTGTGATCGACTGGAAGATGTCAACGTACGGGAGATTCTTCCAGAAAGGTTCTTGGATCGCCTTTACGTTCGCGTCGCGACAGGCAGCAGAGAACTCGGACGTTCCATGTAAATCAAAGGCATTGAGGACCGTATCGAGATCGCGGAGTGGGGCAGTGCACGGGTATTCGCTGAGCGAGTCGTGGTCGCAGTCGCATATGGGGCACGTCCCGGAGTACGCAGCCGAAACGAGACACTGCTCTGGATAGTCGCCCACGTATGCCGCAAGAATGGGATGCCCACGACGAGTAACTCCGTCGCCACTGGTGACGTGAATGCCGTCGACGCCCGCTGCTTGTAACGGCTCGACGACATGAGCCATGCACGCATGGAACATGTTGGCGAGTGTTCGGCGCCGTGCAGACTTGTTCGAGATATGGCTAAGCTGGGAGGTGGGCAGGTAGGCGAGTAGGATCTGGCCCTGGCGACTGGGCTTGCGACGAATAGATTTCGGGAGGTTGCCAATCGTAAGGTATACAGGGTAAGCTGTCTTATTTCGAAAGAGAGTAATCTGTGTTTTATCCGACGACAGGATAACGGGAATTACAGTTGCACCAGGTTTCTCCTTCTCGAGTAGCTCCTGTGTTGAGGCAATGACAAATGGTCAATACAGATGACAATGGACTGACTATGTTCGACATAGACAGGCTTACCTGAGTTCCCCACCACCATTTCCCTGTATGCATATCGTGATATAAGCGTTCATTTGGCGCCTTGTCTGCAGTAGCGTAGTGACGCTCTGGAGCAAAACTAAGGTACTGAGCATGCTCCGGGTCACCATAGAGCGACCGGATGCACTCCAAGATATCGCGAGAGAACATATCAAAACTCTCGCCGGCAGCAACAACTTCATGATGAGTAAAGGCTGGGCGAGAGCGTGGGATGTGCTTGTCGATAATACTGTTGAGCTCGGCTGAGCTTCTGTATGACAGACCAAGGCGATCCAGAACCTATTGATTGGTCAGTGGCTTTTAGCATTAGAGAGACACAAGCTCGAGAAACTGACGCACACTAGGTATAGCCAAAAGCTCCGAAAATGCTGTGGAGCTGGGTCCGCGAAGCTTAGCCCACTTCGCGACCTCCCAATCCACTTGAGAAGCAAATGGCGCCCAGACATTTGATGATGTGGGCGCGGTGCCGTACTCGTTGAAGGTAGAGCCCGTCGGCAAGCCAATGGGAGCGCCGGCATGCCCTCCGAAGTGCTCGACAAACACGTTTTGCTGGCAGAGTCGTCCGTCAGCTGCATTGCTGGCTTGTTCGGCTGCCCCGGGAAGAGGTGTATCATCCTCATTCTGCTGCATATTGGCATCAGCAGAAGTGTAAGCTTCAACATCAACACTACAGTCTTCACGAGGTGGCTCCCAACCTGGAGTAACTGGCCGGGAAGGCGTGTCGTCCTCTGAGTCGTCGCTATCTGTCGGCCCATCAGGGTAGAAGCCTGGAAAGTCTCCCTGGTTGTAGTCGTCTCCATAGTAATCTCCAAGGAACTCATTGGCAGCTGGCATAGCAGGTGAGGACGGCGAGTTTGGATACGGACTTGGAGGTGAGGGAGAGTGTTCGGAACTTGAAGAGGTCGAAGAAGGCCGTGATCCCCGACAATTGGGACGCTTACGACGAGGGAGTAATGCAGATGGGCGAATTCTGGCCTGTCTTTCCTGATAGTCCTGAGCGCATTTGGTATTGTTGGTTTTACGGTAGTGCTGGATGAGGTCACTTTCTCGGTGAAACGAGTCCTTGCACCCGCTGCAGGTGTGTGGCATATTGACTCGGAGTACAAGGAACCGAGTATGTAAAAAGGGCTGCGCCAAACATTCCGGTGGAGCGGAGCTGCATACGTGTCAGCAAAGGGCCGAGCTCCGATACTTGGCAATTTTCACCTTGTTCCGCTCTTTGCTTCGTCCCCTCCCCGCGAATTCCTATCCATTTGCTGCCAACATAGACACTTAGTTTCACTCTTTCTTTTGAGACGCTACACTTGCTTTCTCACCTCACACTCCCATGACTGGTGGCCCAAACTTGACGCGCTTGACACGGTCACGTAAACACGCTTCTGGACAGCCTGAGGCCTCCAACGCTGAAGGAAATGGGTCAGCACGTCGTAAGTTTTACCTTCGCTGCTGTGGTATGGGCCCACTCTTACCAACGGTTTGGCAGCTCCGAGGTCCTCAAAGACACAATGCCTTGAAAACCCACGTCAGTGAGATTAATGCGTGTCGCTTTTTCTGCTTGAACTCACTGTCTTTTATACTGCAGCTTGGTCGGAGAAGGCACCACCTCGCAAGAAGAATGCCCATGCCATCAAGGAATCGAAGCCTGTGACCAAGGCCGAGCTGACCGGCAAGAAATCCGAGTCGTCAAGACCACCCAGTTCGGCGGCCGCCAAAAGAAAGCGAGCAGAGTCAGCAACCGCAGAAACGGCTGGTACGCAGTCCACTTATCTTGTTCAGAAACTACCTCATGCTGATGAATGTTCTAGGTGGTGCTTCTACACCGTCTACGAAGCCTAGAAGTCAGCACAAGGCTTCAAAACGACCAAAGGTTGCACGTGCTACCCACAAACACCAGCCAGCTAAGATAGACGTCGACAAAGAGGAAGATCAGCACGTATCAAAGCACGTCCAACATGGCAAACATGCCCGGCTTGCCAATGGTGATGACGAACTGACCTCCGAAGCTGATGCTGACTCAGACACTGAGGCCAATGAGAGTGACGAGGACATAGTTGACAACAAGAATGAGCTGGTACCTGCTCACCAGCTTAACAACGAGGTACGTCTTCGTCAAGTTCTGGATGATTTCCCGCCACCATGGTCTGAAAACTTTTCAAGGTCGTCAATATCGTCCCAAAAAAGATAGCCGCCAGAGCAGTGCAACGTACTGTCTCTACTACACGTATGTCGACTGGAGGTGTGGCCGAGGACAAGGACAAGGGTGGTGGCGGTGCAGAAGATGACGCAGAGGAGGGTGGCAGTGATGCGCAAACTGCTGATGATGGTGCGTGCACCAACCGAAAGGTAAGGAGTGTACTAGTCATGTTTATCCCAAATTGCTCACCGATATTTTGCGGCAGCTGCATGGACGTCGTCTCGAGAAGCTTGTCAGTGAGGTGAGCTAGTTCATTTCCTGATTTACTCCCCTGTTCCCCTTATTATGTGCACGTGTAGCGTCCTCAGGTCACCACCGCTCGTCGCGATAAGGGCACATGGTCTCGCCCGTCTGATGCAGTCCCCCCGGGACCTAGCCCCACTCCTAGCTCACAGGAGTCAAGCAGCACCAACGACAGTGCTGATGGCGCTGATGCTAATGACATCCCACAGCAGTGGTTGCCACGGACAGAGATCATTCTCGAACCACCCGGCAGTAGTCAGCGTGTTGCTCTCAAGAAGCAAAATGCGGACATGAAGAGGGTCTTGAAGGGAAGTTATCAGCCTGCTAAGGAGTTCATGCTCATTGGCACAGAACCCTTTGACCCGGAGGTTGCCAAGGATGAGGGTCTTTCTGCTGCTGACTTTGTATTCTCGCCGTTCACAGCGCGTGGGCTCGAGTGCATTGGCCATCAGGGGCTCATATCTTCGGCGGATGCACTTGGTTTCAGGGGCCGGGGAGACGTCCTCCACCGGCTCCAGAATGGCCCCCCTTCCTACGTTGATCCTCCCAGTGAATTCGTGAGTTTTTCCCCTTTTTTCCTTGCTTTAATCACTTACGATCGTTCAATTAAGACAGCAAAACGTCTGTCGACTGTTCGGTGCAATATCAAGAAGGCGGCCGGTGTTGCTGCTTCTCACGTTTTTGCGCTTCCTACCATGACAAAGGATGAGATTTCGCAGCTCATCTGGTCGCAAGGTTATATTTTTCCGAAGTCAAACACGGTAAGTAAATTTTGTGATATTCAATATACACATTTGGTAATATGATTCTATGGCGCAGCAACCCGGTAATGTAGATAAGTTCAAGCCGTTTGAGCACGAGGTCATCTGGAGGACGGTTCAGGGCGCGTTTTTCTCCTCTCACGTTGGCGAGAACTCCCTTGGCTTTACGTTCTCTGACAAGCTTCGGTCGTCAAATCCTTCCAAGCCACGGCGGCTTGAAGTCACCATCTCCATGGTTGCACTTGCCGCAGTCGCAGTGAGTTCATCCTTTTCTGTTGTCTACTCCACCTATAGTCATGCGTATGTTAGGTGGCTGCTGCCCTCGAGGATGCTGTCGAAAAGCTCAAGTGCCCAGAGGCGAAGCCTGCCGAATTCGCCGGAAACTCATTCCACTCGCTCCACCAGCAGCAAGTCAAGCTCTTGTCGGACCTACAGGCCAAGAAACCGACTAAGTTTCATCGTGTCATGCACACGATTTTTCGCCTTGCAGTGTATGTTTTTCCCCCGTTTTTCCCGAGTTATACTCACATAGTTTTATAGAGGCGGCTCTGACACCGACGACGATGCTTCAGAATCTTCAAACCCCTCGGCAACTCTGGCTCCACGTGGTGGGGACATTCTCACCATAGACGAGTGGGATCAGATGGACGATGAGTAGGCAAGCCCCTTTACTGTCTCATGTATATCATCACCCTCCCATTTCCCTCGCTTTCCCATTACATCGTGGCCCTCCATTCCTTCCAAATATAATCTAATTATCCCGTTATTGCTCTTTCTACTCATTATTCTACGGCCAGCTTGCCTACTAGTACTTAATGTCTCGAATTACTTACATTCCTAATACGGCCCTTTTTCCATTCTTGTGATCGTCTACCTGTAGACTAGGTCCCAGAATGATAATTCTACTAATGCCTTGACCTGAATGCGCAGACGAATTCCTCTGAAAACCATGGAAATTCTGCCAATCGCTGTCGTGCCGTTTCTGCAAAATGCGCAGGAAATCTGCTATTTTCTCAAAGAGGACCACTGGCTTTCGGGGAAATTTTGAGTCAGTAGAATTTCCAGTAAAGTACGCGTATTTCACCGAAATTCACATTGTATGTTTTTCCTGATGTTAATGTCTCGAATTACT